TTAATGTATTTATAAAAGTCTAAACATATATAGAACGCAGTACAAAATACGAGAGCACTTTATCACGCTCAGGTAAAACAAAGTAAGACATACGGATGACTTTTAATAAGATCTCGGGTTAGCATTGCAACCTTGCAATGACGTACGTGATACTTTTGTCAGCAGTAAAGTGGAAGAATCTCAGCGCAGGCCATCACTCATCCCGTGTACACTGGATCAATCCATCTATTAGAAAAACATAATGACTGTGCCATACCACGAAGAACCGATCCATGAATGCCATGTTCAAACAGCCAGCAGCGCGTCCTGATCAACGCGTCGCTCACGCGACACGACTCTGAATGCACATCAGATTTTATTAGTCACCGAGATCGATCTTCCCCACCAGATCGAGAAATCCGTGTCTCCAGAGATTAGCGTGGAGACAAGATCTATACTAACCCTACTCTAAGCTCAAATCGGTGCAACCAGACAAGGCTTCCGCTCGAGGCTGTCAATGGCCCACCTGAGTCATTGACGTCAGCAGCAAAGTCAAGCCCGTCATGACTTATTTTGTATCGTGCATTAATATCAATTTGTCCCTGCAGCAAACTCTTGGTCTGTTAAAGACTTGGGATAATTTTCTGGCGATTGATCTTGTCATCTATGTCTCAGGAACCTTTTAATACTGATATTGAGCACGACGGCGCTGCACTTATGGCTCAGAACGGAGATAAGAGTAAAGATGAGAGGAAGAAGGTTCTTGTTGTAGGTGCTGGAGCAGCTGGGTAAGTTGTTCAGCTCGTGAGCTCTGAAGCATACTGATGAAGATAGCATGTCTACAGCTTACCACCTGTCGGAACATCCAGACAAATTTGATGTGACTCTGATCGATGCAGTTGACTACTGCGGCGGTCAAGCATTCTCCATTCCCATTGATAAAGAACGACATGGAGCCTCTTGGTGCAATCAAGGTGTCCAAGGAGGATCTTACATCTTTCATCATACTGTCACCATGTTCTCAAGGCAGGGCTATCACGCAGATCCGTGCAACCTTCACGTTTCCTTTGGCAAAGACGAGACCTTTTGGAACAACGTATTTCCAACTCAACTTCTAGTACGTCATGAGAAGGAAGTCCGTCGTCTGACGACTGTTCTCAAGTTCATGCGCTGGTTCGAGATCTTCTTCGCCCTGCTTCCGCTGAAGCTCGTCTTCAAGCTCTTTTTATTCTCTGAGGAATTCACCAACACGATCGCGCTGCCTATGACGGCTCTTTTCCTTGGGACTGGCAATGCTACGCCCGAAGTCCCTGCAATCATGTTTGAGAGATTGTGTACTTCACCGACTTACGGAATGTGGTATCCATCCGACAGAAACACTGTCATCAGCAACAAACCGCCCATGATTGTGTTCCCCAAATTCTCAGAGTTCTACGAGACTTGGAGGAAGGATCTTGTCTCTCGTGGAGTCACTGTCCGTCTTTCTACTGAGTTAACTGAGATTGTTCAGAGGAATAAGAAAGGCGTCGTCGTGAAGCTCAAGCCGAGAACTCCGATGCCCGATCATCATAACCCCAATGGCGGAGATCCCGATGCACCCGTTGGCGAGGAAAAGTACGACGAACTTGTGCTCTGCTGTCTTGCTGACACGGCAAAGAAGGTCCTCGGCAAGACCGCCAGCTGGAAAGAGAAGAAGGTCTTGGGTTCAGCAAAGTTCAGCGACGACATCACGATCACTCACAATGATTCCGATTACATGAGGAAGCATTACGAGAACTTTTATCGCGACGATTTGGCTGTTGCTAACATCAACGGAACTGACCAATCGGATCGTCTGGCGTTTGCAAAATCAGAGTACCGGCCCATGTACTACATCAAGATGTACCCAGAGGACAAGTCCAAGCTTGAAATGTGCTTCGACTGCACGAACTACCAGAGTCAATTCCCCGAAAAGGTTCCCTTCGAGCAGCATGTCTTCCAGACAATTTATCTCAACAAGGACCGGGACAGCAAGCTCTGGACTGATAATGAGATTGCCGAGGACAAGATCATTCGAAAGGACTGGTGGCATCAGCTCTGTCACAGCTACACTCACTATTTGTTCGTCATTCCCTGGATGATGTTCCTCAACGCCAAGAATCACACTCGCTTCGCCGCTTCTTGGACTCTGGTCAACGCTCACGAAGTAGCCGTCATGTCTGGAATTGCGGCTGCAGTGGATCTAGGCGCCAACTACCCTGAAGACCTGGAGAATGACAAGTTTGCATTCTTGTGTTTCAGGCTTTACTACCTTCTTACATATGGAAAATGGTACAGGAGGCATTTTACGTCTAAGAAGTATTTAAAGTCCCAGACTACCGAGAGTCAGGCTGCTGCCGATGGGAAGAGTTGGGCTACTGGACTTTATGGAAGTGTTTATAAGGGACCTGGTGTTTCGGAGGTGGAGAGGAGTGCTTGGAGGGAGGATATCAAGAGGGGATCGAGTACTGGTAACTTGTCTTGAGGGATGTTAGTACAGTGTAGGTTTGAGATTGAACGAGATGAGCGATTTCATTGTTTGCATCAATAAATGGCAGTGACTCTACCCGCTAGTTACAAATGCCATCACATGCAGTATCAAGCTAGCACGTGTTCCTTGTGTTGGGGTTCGGATTAACTATGCTGTGCCCTATGTTTGCTTGGCAGGGGTATCTGTTACAGGTCCTATTGCGTGACTTTCGATGGCTTGCGACCCCGGACAATTTCGTTAATCACCTTCTCTTTCGTAAACTCTCATATAAAATCGCGCTAAGCTGTTCAAGACAGAGAGAAACCAGGTAGTCCAGTTTTCCAGTTAACTACTTCATTCTTGATTTATTCTCTCAACTCTCATCCATTTGACAACAGCTGAACTCACGGCAAATGACCCCTCACATGTCGATCGTTCCAGCGAATCGTGTATGCATGCGCAAACCTTAATCATGGAAGGATTGAGGGGTTCTAGAAGACTGCTGCATTCACAGTAGTACTGTAGGGTATGATCATCCTCTACGCCATAGAGTCTATGGCAATAAGCACTGCAGCCGGGGAGTAGAATCGGAGGAACTTTTGCCACCCATGTCGGTTTACAAAAGGGAAGGTCAGATCCGAGGTAAGACTGACTAGGAACTAGTCCGAGGAAGCCGTCGCCTGTCATATTCACTATCTGGCTGCCATTCAAGACTATGTGCACTGGTCCGTCGCTGGTTGGCCAGAGCAGTCTGGGTATAAGCTTTGGAAGATTGCAGATCATGGTGGCACCAATCACTTGGAGGTTCTCAGAAGAGCTAGAAGCTCGCAATCCCCAATACGCCACCCTCGGTTGGGGGGAAAGCTAGAGAGCTACCAGGGTTACTCCAAGTTGTCGAGTCCTGGAATTACTGACTTGCCACAAACAGCAGTTCGTTGATGTTGCAAGGTGAGATCCATGGTCGTCTGGCGCCACTGGCTTGCATGAGTAGTGATCTAGTTCAATTGAAGGTATACTCTATTTCGACATCTCGCCGGTTGACTACTCAGACATCTTACGACGAAGCTTCACTGCGGGACTTGATTTCAATGACTGTAATCAACTCTGCTATCATCAAAATGGGGCAAAAAGATATAAATCACTATCATCGCACGATCCATCGTTCATATCTAGGTTCGCAATCGCTGATGGATACCGGCAATCTAGGTGGACTCAACACGGGAAGGCCGCGCCTCTCATCGTTCTCGTTATGGTCTTGAACGATAAATTGGGTGGTCAAGGCTGTGACACTAAGCAGCATGGGGTTAACCACCAAAGCTGGAAATGGTCACATGGGATCATCTGGTGCCGCTTATACTCGGAGAGAGGGGACTCGTGTCTTCAATAGGCTTCAATACTTTATTCAGCCCCTGGCGAGGACCCCAAGTTTTGCATGCTGCTGTCCCGTTGAAAGACGCTGGATAAGTCAGCGGATTCATTGGCAACCGGAAGCCCGGCACCAGCTTATCTGCGGGTATGTAAATACCTTCCTAAAGTGGTAGGTCGGGATTCCGTGGTGGTTGTGCGGGGCCCAAGATTTGGAGCTATCAGCGATAGTGATACGTAGACAGGCCGTGATTTGCTGTCGAGGTTGCAGTGGTAATCCTGAGGAACTGTTCTAGAACAACCGCCCGCACGAGGGGAGGAAATGGCACCATAGCGCACTAGCTATGACCGTTTTCGCGACGTAACAGGAGTTTCGGCACAGATATGGTACACAGTCAGAACTTTGGTCTAGACCAGAAAAGGCTAATGCTCCTTTTACGAAGGACCCATCGCATGACTAGCCTGTCAAGTTCAAGTTTGGAGAGACTCTGGGGTAAAGAGGAGCTGAAGCTTTGCTTCGTTGGAGAAAGACTGTTCTCCCCTGTAAGTGACCGCTCGTCGGGGACGCCAATCCAATAGAAATGGCCCAGCAGGCTCTCCCTATCTGTAGAGCTCCAGCGCTATCTGGAACGGGGTGGCGCTGGACCCAACAAAAGGCCGTGGCGAGCCTGGGGCCATGTCCTTGATAAGAAGGTCGGTTGGTCGTATTTTTGTCTCCGTGTTGGTATGGTGGTCAGATTGTAAAGTCGAGAAGCATTGCTGATCGCTGACGGGTCATCTTTACCAGTAGATTGGTCCACGCATGAAGCCTCAAGATATCTAAAACGAATGCAACGTGATCTAAATGTGCTGTACGCATCGCCAAGATTGACAAGAGATGCCAAGTCGGCAGCCAAGATGCGCCCAGAGATGTCAAGGAAACACGGCGACAATTGAGTTTGGGTGTGTGGCAACCAGGGTAAAACACGGTCGTCGCATTGGAATGTCTCGTTTTAATTGCAGAGACAGGGTTCTAGACGCCCCCCCCCCCCCCCCCCCTTCTCGGGGGAGGAGATGATATCGAGAAAGAACCCCGCCAAGCCCATCACTTGCTAGCGTCGCAGTAAAGCTTATCTTAAGCTTGTTCAAAGCTGCCTAGCGTCGCTGGCGGGCTTGGCACATAAAGACACTGAGAGCCCAGGTTTGCGAAATGCTCTTGTTTTGTTTTTGAGACAGACATTCTATACTTCTCTTCTTCACTTTGACACTTTTTTACTGTAACACAGTAGAAACGTTGCCCAGCATGTCTTCGTCACCGCACAAGGATGAGGTGAACTATGAGACGAAGGACGAGACTACGGTCACTGTACCTCACGATGAGGAGACAGGCACAACCACGGGCGAGGGCCACCTCAAGCGTGATCTCCGCAGTCGACACATGCAGATGATTGCCATTGGAGGTGCCATCGGTGCTGGTCTGTTCGTCGGTTCTGGTAGTGCTCTTCACAAGGGAGGTCCCGCGTCGCTGGTAATTGGTGAGTAACGCCTAACAAAACTTGATACCGACGACCAATGCTAATTAATTCTCGCAGGCTGTAAGATACTCCCCCGCTGACTCGATGTCGCGCAATGACCAACACAATTTAGATCTCATCATCGGTGTCATGTTGCTCTGCACCAACCTGGCCCTCGCCGAGATGGCTGTTCTGTACCCCGTCAACGGTGCCTTCTACACCTACATTGTCCGCTTCGTCGATCCCTCTTGGGGCTTCGCCTGCGGTTGGGAATATGCTCTGTCCTGGCTCACGGTTCTCCCCTTCGAGTTGATCGCTGCGTCAAAGACCATTGAGTTCTGGCGCACTGACATCCACATGGTTCGTAGATCTGATCTGCCTTGGCGGCTTGGCGATTGACCCCGTCGTCTTGGCATATGCACCTTGACGTTTTGACAGATTCAATTAGCTAACTTTGTCGCTAGGCTGTTTGGGTCACTGTCTTCCTTGTCGCTCTCACCATTGTTCAGATCTTTGGTGTTCGTGGTTACGGAGAGGGTAAGCACTCATCATCGTCTCCCCAGTGTCACCGCTAACGCGTCGCAGTCGAATTCGTCCTGTCCGCCATCAAGATCTGCGCTTGCTTGGGATTCATCATCCTCGGTATCATCATCAACTGTGGCGGTGTCGGTGATCAGGGCTACCTCGGTACCAAGTACTGGCACGACCCTGGTGCTTTCACCAACTTCAAGGGCTTCTGCGCTGTCTTCACCGTTGCTGGTAAGTCTTTCGTACTGCTTCGCCATCAGCTCGCTAACAACCCTAGCCTTCGCTTTCGGTGGTACTGAAATGGTTGGCCTCGCTGCCGCTGAGACTGCTAACCCCCGAAAGTCTGTTCCCACTGCCTCCAAGCAGGTCTTTTGGCGTATTGCTCTCTTCTACGTCATCAACCTTTTCATTGTCGGAATCATTCTCCGATCTGATGATGAGCGTCTCCTCGGTGCTTCTGGCGCCAACACAAAGGCCTCGCCTTTCGTCCTCGCCATTCAAGATGCAGGCATCAAGGTTCTGCCCTCCATCTTCAACGCCGTCATCACCATCTCCGTCTTGTCCGTCGCCAACTCGTGTACCTTTGGTTCAACCCGTACCATGCAGGCTATGGCCATGCGTGGCCATGCCCCCAAGTTCCTGAACTACATTGATGGCAAGGGTCGCCCCATCTACTGTGTCATCATTCAGCTTGCTTTCGGTCTGCTGGCTTATGTCGGAGAGTCCAAGAAGGGCGGTACCATCTTTGACTGGCTTCTGGCTTTGTCCGGTCTTGCATTCCTCTTCGTTTGGGGCACCATCTGCCTCGCTCACGCCCGCATGCGATCTGGTTTCAAGGCCCAGGGCATTGATCTTAACCTTGTCCCTTACAAGACTCCTTTCGGTGTTTGGGGCAGCTATCTCGGCGTCTTCCTCAACGTTATTGCTCTTGTTGCCACTTTCTACTCTTCGCTCTACGTAAGTTCAGTCTACCAAGATGAGATTCACTCTCGTACTAACATGGCACCAGGCTCCCGATGGCTCCCCTCCCAATGCCGAGGCTTTCTTCATGTCTTTCCTCGCTGGTCCCATCATTCTTGTCCTCTACCTTGGTTACAAGGTCTACTCTCGCGACTGGAAGTTGTACGTTAAGGCCATTGATATGGATCTCCAGACTGGTATTGTCCTCCTCGATGAGCCCGAGCATGAGATTCCCTGGTCGTGGAAGAATGCGCCAAGGCGCTTGCTCTCGGCTATTATCTAGATACCTTGGCAGAAATTGTCTTTAAATAGTTTGCTCCGGGGCACAGTAGTTTAAATCTCATTCAATATACCTCCGTCTTACTGTCCTCAATGTCATGTTACCCCAAATCTATCCGACCGGCAACAACGCAAGCGACCGAAGGGCTAGGATCGGCTATTATATGAATCTTAATTCCAATCTTCCCCAGCTTTCCCCGCAGATCGACTCGCATTATTTCTCCTTTCGGATTCTTGCCTTACGGCCCTGCATTGCTACAGGCGCGCATATTTCGCAGTCTTACGTTCCATCAACCCATTTCCCCCCTTTAGCCTGAGTTGACAAGGTCGCCAAGCGCCTTCAGGCTAAAGGCAAACTGTCCCCATGGGGAAAAGCGAGGCTGGCAATGTTTCACTCAAAGTGACAATAATGCACAAAGAAACAAAGCAATCACAAATGCGAGTCTGATATTGGATAATTTTGTCGCTTCTATTCGGCCCGTTACATCGTGTATGCCTCTTTGAATTAGCCGAAATTGATTCGTTGCTTGTCATGTACTGGTAATACAGACACATGGATGACACAAGGATTTATCCTGCAGCCTCAAACTGCCGGGTGAGATTTCATATATAGATACAGATGCAACAGCAGCTCGTTGCAGTGAATTTTCTCTGGTACTCCAAGCAGTTGCATCGAGTCCACTGTGACTCTACACTTTCCCGCCTATACAGCCAAGAAAACCGAGCCAGCATGGGTGTTGCAACGACTACGGTCGGCACTTACGATGCCGCCCTACAGAGGCGCCAGGCGCTTATGGGTGCCAGTGGCGCGCGAGCCCTCGTCAAGAACTGGAAAGTCGCCCGGATTGCCGCGTTTGCCTGTATCGGAGGTATTCTCTATGGTTACAATCAGGGAATGTTTTCGGGCATTCTGACAATGCCGTCTTTTGAGAGACGTAAGACTCCTCTTCCTGTTTTGTAGGGATTTGCTGACATCTATAGACATGGGAGATTATATCAAGAACCAGACCAAGAAGGGTTGGCTTACATCTATTCTCGAACTTGGCGCATGGCTTGGAACTGTCATGTCTGGTGCCATCGCAGAATTGTGCTCCCGTAAATATGGTATCTTGATCGCTACTTGTGTCTTCATTATTGGTGTCGTCATTCAGTCCACTGCCATTCAAGCTGGACACAATGTTATTCTCGCCGGACGTTTCATCACGTATGTAATTCCAGTCCTCTTTGATCTCAGCTAACATCTCTAGTGGTATGGGAGTCGGTAGCTTGTCCACCATTGTTCCGCTTTACAACTCCGAATGCGCTCCACCGTATGTTACAACCGACGCTACTGAGATACGGAGGCTTACAGTTTTATAGTGAAGTTCGAGGTGCTTTGGTTGCTTTGCAACAACTCGCCATTACTTTCGGCATCATGATCAGTTTCTGGATCGACTAGTATGTCAACATACCCTCGAGACTATCATATACTGACAATCGACAGTGGCTGTCATTTCATCGGTGGAACTGGCGAGTCTCAAAAGGACGCCGCTTGGCAAATCCCCATCTGCCTTCAGCTCGCCCCGGCTCTTATCCTGCTTGTCGGTATGGCATGGATGCCTTTCTCACCTCGATGGCTGATCCACCACGGAAGAGAAGAGGAGGCTAGAGAGGTCCTGGCCAACCTTCGAGATCTCCCTACCGACCACGAACTTATCGAGCTGGAATATCTCGAGATCAAGGCTCAATCACTCTTTGAGAAGCGAAGCTTGGCTGAGAGGTTCCCCCATCTTCAGGAGGACACAGCCATGAACACCGTCAAGCTCCAGTTCGTTGCCATCGGCGCTCTCTTCAAGTCTAAGGCCATGTTTAAGCGCGTCATTGTCGCTACTGTGACCATGTTCTTCCAGCAGTGGACGGGTATCAACGCTGTAAGTTACTCTACTTTAACAACCATATATTCCCAAGCAGCTGACAAGTAAAGGTTTTGTACTACGCCCCTCAGATCTTTGGACAACTTGGTCTCAGCAGCAACACTACCAGTCTCTTGGCCACTGGTGTCGTTGGTATTGTCATGTTTATCGCCACTGTTCCTGCTGTCTTGTGGATCGATCGACTTGGCCGTAAGCCTGTCTTGACTGTTGGCGCCATCGGCATGGGTGCTTGCCATCTTATCATCGCCGTCATTCTGGCCAAGAACATCGACCAGTTTGAGACTCACAAGGCCGCTGGTTGGGCTGCTATCTGCATGGTTTGGCTGTTTGTCGTCCACTTTGGATGTGAGTTCACGCCCAGCTCTCTTTCGCGGACTGATGCTAATGATGCTAGACTCCTGGGGTCCCTGTGCCTGGATCATCGTCGCCGAGGTTTGGCCTCTCAGCACGCGACCTTATGGTACTTCGCTTGGTGCCTCAAGTAACTGGATGAACAACTTTATGTATGTGACGTTGACTTGGTATTCTTTGCGCTAGCTAACTTTGATCAGTGTTGGACAAGTTACACCAGACATGCTGGAAAACATTACATACGGAACCTATATCCTGTTCGGGTTGCTCACGTGGATTGGCGCAGCCTTCATCTGGTTTGTTGTTCCAGAGACCAAGCGACTGTCACTCGAAGAGATGGTACGTATCCCTCCAGCTTTACTAGCACAGCACAGTTACTGACTGTTCTCAGGACATCATCTTTGGATCTGAAGGAACTGCCCTTGCTGATAACGAGCGCATGGCTGAGATTAACCGTGAGATCGGCCTTGAGAGTATCATCTACCGTGATCAGTCCTCCCACCACGCAGAGGTTCCGGAGAAGGAGATGTTGTAATAGGTTGAACAAGAGGCTGCGGAAGCTAGCTGTCACAATTGGTTCCTTGGAGATGATATTGGTAATAGACTTTTCGCACAGATTGAACATTCAGAATAGCTACTGTCAATTGAGTCTTTCACCCATACTCTACCTAACATTTATGCAGAATTGTTATCCATATGCTGGCCGCCCTGCCTAATCGATAATAGGTCTGAACAGCATTGCTTACAAGTCAGAAAGAGACTATGGTCTTCCGCAAACTAATATCTGTCAATCAATATATTTAGCCGCCGTATAGCCAGTTCTTAGAACACTGGTATTTAGTTACCTTTATTAGGTAGGGTTCATTGCTTGCATAAACTTTATCTGGCATATTATCAAGATTGAGTTTGTGGGGCAGAGAGATCACTTCAAGATTCTGACATTACGTAGATGAAGCCTATTTTCTTCGGCCTAAATAAACCAAACAACAAGCATTTATCAAGGTCCATAATGATTCAAGATGACTCACTTCGATAAATTTCCTCTTCCGTCAAAGAACTGGGCCTGTACTCTACGCTAACTCCACGCCGTGACATGCCTCGCCACTGTTTTTCGGAAAAGTGGCAGCGCCGGACCAATCGGAATGTCAGCATAACCAAGATGGCATCGTCACTGTATCCGAGCGCGAAAACTCGTTTCTGGCGAGGACTCATGCAAAAATCTCTACTATTGAGGTTCCACTTTGGGTCCATCTGAAATGACCTTTATGAAAGTGCAGGGCAAATGTCTCAACGACTTAACTATTAAATGGTAGAGCTTTAAATTCCTGTTTTACTGCTCATTCATTCTTTGATTAACACCCATAATAGTAATCAATGGCTATCCTTTCCTCTCCGCTTGGCCTTGGCGTCTCCCTGATAGCCATCCTAATCGGGGCTATCATCTTGGCCAATAAGAAACCAAAATTCCCAATCATCAACAAATATCCCAAAGACTACTTCCACCGTCAGGCGAATCACGAGTACAAGACCAACGCGAGAAGGCTACTCAAAGATGGCGCTGCCAAGCATGGCGAGAACCCATTTGCCATCTTGGTCCCAAATGGTATAAAGACAATTCTGCCACCTTCTTGTGTCGGCTGGGCCAAGAACAACAAAGACTTGGACCATCAACAACTCGTGAGAGACGAATACTTTGCTAGCTACCCTGGTTTCGACGTTCAGCATGTCTTGCATCACCCGAATAGGATGGTCATCAACATGGTCCAAGGAAAGTTGTCCAAAACTGACAAGACTCTCCCTGTCATGAATAAACACATCAAGGCAGGCTTGTCTGATATTTGGGGAGAAGACAAGTCTTGGAAGACACTCAACTGGGAAGATGGAACTACTGGAGTTATTTCTCGTGCAGCAGCATCTATCTTCGTCGGACCAGAACTCGCTGCTGACCCTGAATGGCAAAAGGTCTCGAGGGCTTATGTTCTGGACTACTTCGGCGCTGTTGGAGAAATGCATTTGTGGCCCTCGTGGTTGAGATGGTTGGTTGTCTGGTATCTTCCAGGTGCCTCAGCTTGCCGTGCTGGTCTGAAGCGAGCACGCGAGATGGTGAACAAGGTCGTTCAGAAGAGACGACAGGAGGAAGAAGAGGCTAAGAACCAAGGAAAGGAGCCTCCTGCTTACTACGATGCCCTTGCTTGGACTCTTGAATCGCCACTCGGAAATGAGTTTGAGCCTGCAGATGTTCAGCTAGCTCTGGCCATGGCCGCCCTGTTTACCACTTCAGAGCTTTTTCGCCAGATTTTGACTGAGATTGCTCGTCGCCCTGAGGTTGTTGAGCACCTGAGACGAGAGATTGAAGATTCTTCACCCGATCACGACTTTACTGCTACCTCACTCGTCAAGATGCAGTTGCTCGATAGTTTCATGAAGGAGACCCAAAGACAAATCCCCTCGCTAGGTAAGTTCTTATCGGAAGGCCTTTCGCACTTACTAACCCATTTAAGTGATATTGGAGAGATTGGTTATCCACGACACCCGACTTCCCGATGGCACTGTTCTTAAGAAAGGAACTCATATCGCTATCGATTCTCGAGAGATGTATGATCCCGCGAAGTTTGAGAACCCCGAAGAGTTTGACGCCTGGCGTTTCTACAAACGGCGACAAGCTGGAGACAACACAAGCTTGTTCGTGCAATCGAGCCCGGAGCATGCTCAATTTGGCATGGGTAAGCACCTATGCCCTGGAAGGTTCTTTGCAGGTAGCGAGTTGAAGCTTTGCCTGGCTCAGATCATACTCAAGTATGACATTAGATTGAAGGACGGGTGTTTGGGAAAGCCTACGGAGTTTGGCTTTTTGAGTGCCACTGATCCATACACCCAGCTAGAGGTTCGAAGAAGATAGTGTTATATACTATGTATTTATAATCTTAATAGACTAGCAATTCTTTACTAAATCAGAATGGATCTCACTGTGGGCAAAGAGTGCTTGTAGGCAAGGTCAAACGGGGACTGCTGAGACCCCAATTTGTAATCTTATTGCATTGTGTCTGGGGGCTTGTTCTTATCTATGGCAGAAAGAGTAATTTGTAGCTCTAACAAGAAGTCTGATCACTTCTTGTTCTTGTTCTTCTTCTTTCTCTTCTCCTTGCATTTATCGCACAACTTATCAACCACGGTATCAATTACCTCAGTTGGCCTTCTGCATGCCCCAACTACGCCTCTTGCCGGCGGACATGGGAATATGTCATTCCTTATAATTTTCTGCTTGCTGCAGTCTGGGCATACTTCCATCTCTCTGCATTGCCTACACATTGTACTGGTCTGTAGTAATAGGTGAAGTTGTAGATAGTAAGAGGTTGTTTAGAATGGTAGATTTAATTGAGCTGAGGTTTCCAGGTTACAGAGCGACAACGAGGCGATTGATACTCAAAGGAACATGAGTGGTTCTGTGACCAGTGATTTGTTGTTCATGGTCAACTATGCCGGCTACGATGTTCACAGCCAGAAGGAGCTTAGAATCACATCATTATCTGAACCTTGAATAGCTGAAACATGCCCCTTGGTATCTGTCGCCATGACCCACTGAAAAAGTCTCACCAACGGTTCACAGACTAGTAAAACATACACAGGAACTGATGGACTGAAAGAAGTCAGTTACTCAGGCTCACTCTTCGCGATGTCACGTGCTAATTCCTACTTATATCAATGGCATATTACAATAATACCGTTTTGTTGCAGAGTAAAGAAGGCTATAGATATGATGTACTAAGTATTTCTATCCAGGCTACTAAATATCGCAAGACATTACCTTATTTTCCAATATCCAAAACTTGAGTTATCCCCCCTCCCCCAGAATATATCAGCAAACCTCATTTCTTCTTACTTTTACTTCTACATTTAGAACACAGGGCTTTGGTTGTGTCAACCCTCCTCCTGCTGTTGCCACATCTTCCAAAGAAGCCTCGAGACTGGGGACAACAGTGGTCAGCAAACCGCTGAGTAAGAAGGATTTCACAGACACGGCAGACGGTTTGATATATTATTTCTACACACATAATGATGTTATTAAATCGACCACGGTAACAGGCCCCGAACTGAATTGATCGTGTTACAAGTTGATGTACACAATATCGAGTAGGTGGGAATCGAGTATGACTAATGGAGAAGTGAAATGCAAACAGCAACATGCTATCAATTATAGTTTGGAGATCTTGAAGCACATCAACATAGCTCGTGATGATCGATATGCGGTTAAATAGATATGTCAAGATGCTTTCTCTATCAAAGAACTGGCTACGGAATACTTGGTTCACAGAGTTGAGTGCTTAAAGAAGCTTCTCAACTGAATGATTGAGAACACAACGAAATCCTGTTCAATGTTTAGGTAGGGACAACCTTGCACTTCTCTGTTATCGAGCTACACAAGATTGGGAGGATGTGTCTTTTAGAGGGCTGTCACATCTTGCCTTGGTCATAAAATTGTAACAGTCGAGGGATGTCGATGAGAGATTTATCAGGCATTAATGATCAGTGTAAATTATAAATAGCGTAACTGTGTTATATGAAATGGATAATAGTAACTGTCGTCTCCTGATGATAGTGATTGCACAGAGCTCAGTGAATGAGGCCATCATTCTTGACCTGTTCGAGGTACTTGAAATAGCTCGCAGTAGTGTTTCGTCGAAGCTGTTTGCCATACTTGATGAACGCAAAAGCAAGAGAAAACTGCGCCATTGCAACAAAGGCTGCAACAAGGAAAGCGTTCTGATAACCCATTCCTGTAACCCAGGGAGTGACACTAAGAGAGATTAGTAGATGAAAGCTTGAAGGATGGTGAGTCACTTACCCGTAGCCAATGGCAAAACTCATGGTGTTGCGAATCAGAATGATTGTGACAATAGCGTCGGAGCCAAGCTCAGTATAGCAGTCGATGCAGTAGCTAAGAGGAATCTGACAGCCTGCAGTGATTGCGGCACCTAACATTCCCATAGCGATCAAGAGTCCTGACCAGTGAACGTGATGAGCCGCTCCAACGCCCCAGAGTAGTAGTCCACCTGGCACGGCCAGAAGTAGAACAGCGTAAAGCCACAGGCGGTATTCAGGCTCGCGGATGCCGTTACTACGGCGTGTCAGGTAAAGGACGAGCTTATCCCCGACTGGGCCAGAAAGGAATGACCTGCTTCTTGTTAGCTCATGTATGGTGGGAGTTGAAAATCCGGCCAGGCCTACCCAACAAAGACTCCAATGACGGTGGCGATGTAGCAAAGACCAACAGTGCTTGGCTTGAATGAATAAGGAGGAGCCGAGAGAATGATCGACGCTGTACCATTGAGCACATTGAAGTAGCAAATAACAGCGCCATACATGAAGCCACAGAACACAACAATGGGCAAGAAGAAGTACTTGAAGGGTCGAATGAGCATGCCCTTCAGAGGAACGCTGCCTTGAACATGCTCGCTTCGGAAGATCTTGATTTTGTCGAGGAAGGTCTTGGAGGAGGGGAGGACGCTGCCATTGACGACATCTACATTTGATGTAGTCTGCGACTCTACCTCTTTCTTACCATCGCTGGGAGACTCGGTCGCTTTGTTGATATCGACAGTATCGTTGAGATGGAGTGCGGTGGCTTTTCGGTTGTACTTTGTTTCCTCCATGAAGAACAAGCAAATAACGAATGCGATTGCGTTAAAGATTGCGCACCAATGCTGCCCGATGAGTCAGTAGCGGAACTTGCATCACTGTCTGTTACTTACCAACACCCATTCCCAACCTTGTCCGTCGTTGATGAAGCCAGAAATGACAGGTGCTACAAAGTTTGCACCTCCGAGGAATAGAGCGTAGTAAGCAATGTAGGTGCCTCTCTCGTGGGCAAAGTACTACACGAATGAGTGAGATTAGGTGAGGAAGGGCGGTTGACTCGGCTACTTACAGCATCTGACACCGAGATTTCGCAGAGTGACTCGACTGGGGCACCAAAGGTCCCTTGGAGGACCTTGTTGGCAATCCATTGGCCGTTGGTCGTTGCATGCGGGGCCCAGATCATGATTCCCTGGCGATGATGAGTTATGGCAGAAACGCGTAAGGAGGGATAGACTTACCGTTGTTCCCAGTAAGGACAAAAGGTAAACAGGACGTTTACCAAACTTCTGTGCCAGAGGCTGCCAGATCAGACATCCCCATCCAAAGGTCAAAAACATATATCCGGTTCCAGAGTTCAGATCACCGACACTGAGGCCAGTGGCAGCTGAGATCGGAACAAGAACGGAGTAAATGGCGGCCGAAGCAATACCAATGGCAAGGCAGTACCTGTTCATAGGGGCTCAGTTCTTGTTTCCCAACAGTAGGTGGCTGGACATACACGCATAGAGTTGCCATAAGCAAAGTCTTTCTCCATCTGCTCCAGTTCAAAGGATCATCTGGATCTTCAGAGGGAGTTGGAACAAGAACGATATCTCGATGGCCTTGCGCGTGGCGAGTATCCAAGGTGCCATCAAAGTCAACAAGGAGGACTGTCCCGGGGACAAAGTCCGACACGGGCGGTGGCGAGTTGTCGTCTGATCCCATGATGAAGCATATAATAGATAGAACAAGATTGGTCAATTTGTGACTTGAGGTCTATGGGTCTGTGAAGTTCTGTTTCTGGCGAACAGACCAGGGATTAAATACATGCAATGAAGGCATACCAAGCAGCCGGAACGCGATAACACCTTTTAAACATAGCGCCAACTACTAGATCGCGATCTCCCCATTGCCCAGACAGTCTAGATCCTCCTTCAAACGTCACCTTGTTCTAATTCCGCAGTTGATCACGATAACATTTAATCCGGGGGTGGACCCCAGCCTGCGGGGGTAACAACCAATGGCTGATATTTACGAGTTTTAGCTTATCTTTCAGTTTGGCGAACCTTTAACCGATTCCAGCATGAGACCATGTCTTGACCAATCATTGACTTTTGCGAGGCGTCCCACCAATAGATATGATTACCGAAAGATAGGTTATCTTGAAAGAGGCTTCCAACAACGGCATTTCGCCCTCAACGAGGTATGCATCATATGATACAGAATCAGTGACATGTCTGAAGTCGGCAAAGCAGGCCCGATTGGGTTTCATTGAGTATGAATATAAAGATGCGTTTGAAGCCAAGCTCTATCTGATCATCATTCCTCGTAACTTTGCCTCCATTACCTTTCCATCATACACCATGGCGTCTGTTGTTGAATCTCTTCCTCAGGGACTTGTCTCTCATTCTCAGTCCCAAAAGTCCGCAGACACTTCTGTCCTGGCCGATTGGGAGATCCAAGCTGAGAAATGCCGTAAAGTACTCCGAGAATCTCTCAACCCAGATTGGCTTCTCCCAGCTAGGCAACTTCCATCTGCTGAACAGCTCAATGTTTCCACTTTCATCGAGACATGCGGCTTCCTCTCTACACGAGAGTTGGAGATCACAGCTACCAGCGCAACGAAACTGGTGGAACAAATGGCTTCCGGCTCTCTGACGGCTGTTGTGACTGTCACTGCATTTCTCAAGAGAGCTCATATCGCACATCAACTCACCAACTTTGCAACTGAGTTCATGAATGCCGATGCACTCGAAGCCGCTGCTGAACTTGATGCGTACTTCAAGGCAACCGGCAAAACCAAGGGGCCCTTGCACGGTATCCCGATCTCGACCAAGGAGCATATTGAACATAAGGGACGGATTGCTCATTCGGCTTACGTCGCCCTTGTTGACAATGTTGCTGAAGAAGACGCCTTGATAGTTCAATGTTGCAAGGAGGCTGGAGCAGTTTTCCATGTGCGAACCAATGAACCTCAGAGCGTAATGGTTAGTCGCTCTCCCCCCTTCCCCTTCCGATGACCTGCCAGTGACGATTTAGCACATTGACTGTTCCAACCCAATCTATGGCACAACGGTGAACCCACACAACCGAACATTGACATGCGGCGGCTCGAGCGGCGGAGAAGGTGCTTCGTTGGGACTCCGTTGCGCAGCCTTGGGCATTGGTACCGACCTTGGAGGTTCTGTTAGAGTACCCGCTGCCTTTTGTGGCGCATATGGACTGAGGACTACCGCACTGCGCAACCCGTACAAAGGCGTATGTCTCCCTGGTGCCGGGCAAGAGAGCATCCGATGCGTTATCTCACCTCTAGCCAATACTGCAGAAGACCTTGGCCTCTTTCAGAAAGCTGTTCTTGATCAGGAACCCTGGGAGGTTGAGACATCGCTGGTGCCTCAGCCTTGGAAGCAGGCTAGTCCACTAAAGCCTGGAAGCTTCACTATTGGTGTTATGTGGGAGGATGGGTGAGTTCTCTTTCTTTTCCTGTGCCTATCAGCTAACTGTTGTCATAGCCTTGTCCGACCCCATCCTCCAGCCCTTCGTGCACTCCGATACGCCAGTGAAAAGCTCAAGAGTGCAGGCATTACTGTAGTCGACTTCGAGCCATATAACCATCAAGAGGGCATGGATATTGTTTCAAGACTGTACTTTCCTGAATGTGCTGTAACACAGAAGGATCTCTTGGAAAAGGGAGGAGAGCCTGTTGCGCCACTGTCGGACTTTATCTTCAACTTTGCTCCGCCAAGGCCACTTACGATACAGGAAAACTGGGCTTTTAATGTTCGAAGAGACGCCTTTCGAGACCAGTAGGTACACAGAAGCCTGGAGACTAACTTAGCTGACTTCTTTAGGTACCACAAAATCATGAAGAATCGAGGTGTTGACTTTATTCTCTGCCCTGCCTATGTCGGGCCAGCTGCAAAGTTGTGCGATGGACATTACATTCCTTATACAGCCATCTGGAATCTCCTCGACCAACCAGCCATTACATTCCCGACTGGACTGAAGGTTGAGCCAACCGATACACCATACTCTGACTTCAAACCCCGATCAGCAGAAGAGGAAAGAGAATACAACAAGTGTAAGTAATATTGCTGGAGCCTTTGCTGATTCAATGCTGATACAAGAGTAGACTCGCCTGAAGAGTATGCTGAAGCACCATTGGCGTTGCAAATTGTTGGTAAGCACTTCCGCGATGAAGACACGGTTGCTGCTGTAGAGTTGGTGTCAAAGATTGTCCAGGGATGAACAGGCTCAAGCCTCCAGATAGATCTGAATAACTGCATATTTAGGTCTCGTATTATGAATGAAATACATAGCAATTTCAAGCTTCTTATAAACTTTCTAGAGCGTAAAGCCCGATACCATTCATGGAGGACGGGAGGCTTGTGACACCAGTATTGTACTCTTTATCAGCTATTGGAGTCCATTAGCTCAGAGACTACTGGTGAAGACCAAGAGGGCTAGCGCCAAAGTCTGTCTCTTGTTATCGCCTGCTGCAGCTTAAAACCCCAACTTCCCCGCTTCTGATTTGACCCCAGTGCCATAACTTGTCCGCTTTCATTGCATGCATGACCATTCAAGATTCAGAGACATATGAGAACATCACCGGCTGTCTGATCATGCCAGACGCTAAATTACGTGCGAAGACTGGCTGCGTCACATGTGAGCATTGGGAGTTTAAATATATGCGCTTACTGACCGATGATAGGCAGACAACGCCGAGTCAAATGTGACGAAGGAAAGCCATCCTGTCGCAACTGCTCTCGCTTTGGTCGAAGTTGTTCATGGCCCAAAGCCACTGATATGGCTGATAAAAGGCACCGCCGTCGACGTGCAACTCCTGCTCCTTCGTCACCCGCCAACGAGAGCACCTCCCCACCAAAGACTGACGAGATCTCACATGACATTGTCCCCATTCTGAATAATAGGGCATCACTTACAACTATCAACCATCCCCTCTTGGAAACGGAAACCGAGTTCGAGTTGATGCATCACTTTTACAACTTCCACTTCAACTCCCTTACTCTTCCAACAAAGGACAAGTCATACTTTTTTCAGTGCCAGTCAGACCTAATGGACATGATGTCACACAACAGAACCATTAAATATGCTATACTAGCCAACTGTGCTTCAAACAAACATGTCCTGATGAACAATGATCGGTATCGCCTCATAGCCTTGCGATACTACACAGAAGCTATGAGAGGGCTGAATCAGGAACTTGTGGACTTTTGTCCATCAGATGCCTATCGGCATTCGTGTTTATTAACGGTTGCATCATACTTATACGTTTATAATGTATGTACTCAATCATAATTCTGCCTCACTGTGATATTGGCTAACGGATTCTGCGCCCAGTTCTGGAGTCTTGATGCGATGTCGAACCCGAAGCCTCACGTTGTCGGGGCTGTGAAGCTGCTAAGCTTAAGGAACCAAGACAACAGTGCATTGATACCATTCATTCAAAGCTACGACAGGATCAACGTTGAAAGCGTGCTGTATCAGGGCTTTTTGCTATCTATCAGAAGGCCATTTAGGCCTGACTTTCGACTGGACTCCGAATTCATCACTCATGCTGAGGATTTGCTTCGCTCATACGACAACGCAAATCCATCTTCCTCAAAACCAAGCATCGTGCTTGGAGTACCCACTTCCCTGTATCGACTCATATTACGGATTGTTGACTCTTATAATGTCCCTCGAAACAGACTTTTAGATCACCTGATAGGCTTGAAGATGGAGCTGCAGTACTGGGAGCAACTGTTACTCGATGATCAAGACAGTCAGAACCTTCATCATGGTGATTCACGCTTCAATGACCTGATGATAATCGCAACTTCACTCCTTTTGGATCTAATCACAGAAACCCTGACGTCACGGGACGATACAGACTGTCCTCTTGTTTCGGCTGAAGATGCTGATGGGAAGCCTTGGCGATGGCAACTCGATTTAGCCATGAGTATCCTTCAATGTCCCGAGGAACATCAAAAATGGAGTAGTTGTTACCTAGGAGCATGGCCATTGTTGATACTCGGGTATGGTGCCAGGACGATCGAAGAGATTACTCTGGTGAAGGATATCTTGACAAAGATGCAACAGCGCATAGGATATGGCGAGGTTCAGAGAATACGCGAAGAGCTGGATCAGATCACAACGTATAAGGTTCCAGATGGTCGAATGTACAAAGAACTTCTCAGTCTCCCTCCACCGGATTGGGAGGAGGCAGATATTGTTTAATATAGCACGATGACCTGGATCTAATTACAACTTAGGCACTTGTGAGATCTGTTATGGACTTATGTGTTATTTGTAAAATATATCTTATATCTTGTATTGATCTATTATGCCTAGGGGTGCTATGACATAACCTGTATAAAGATACATAGTAGCTATATATCCCAACATAAGAAAATTTCTTAGTTGCCTGTCGGCCACTGTCCATCGAGGCTGGAGGATCTTACTCAGTGGCTAAAATCTAAGCAGCATCGCTCGTGGTATCTTCTGCCTCACTTGCGCCTGGTGGAGGGGGTCCACCAGGGCCTCCAGGGCCTCCTCCTCCAAAGTCAGGGTTGGTATGGCCGCCATCCTCATATCTGAAGACTGCAGGGGTAACCTTGTCAGTGGCAGTGATGTTGATGCCATAAGCCAGCCAGCCGAAGAGACCCTCAGCAACAGTGTCACCAAGAAGGGTCCATTCGACAACCGGGTCGTAGTCCTGGTTGGCAGCCTGAGCTAGAATTCCATCACCAGCGTTTGTGGTCTGAGCCTGCGTGTTGGTGTTGTAAGGAGCAAGAGCTTCGACGTCGTCGATCAGGTCCTGGTCGAAGTAGGTCTGCCCAATGTGGCTGCTGTAGATGACGTTTCCAAGGGTCTTATTCTGGTACAGAGTAGCGTTTGCATGAGCCAGGAGGTGGATATGCGTCGTACGGCCAACATAATGACCTGGGAAGATGGTCTCAAACTGGGCGACACCATCTTCATCAGTTGGCTGGATGCCCCGGCCAAAGGTCTTGTTAATGTTGGTCTTGTCAGCAAAGTTTCCGTTTCCCTGATTATTCACACCACCGTAAACACCAGTCGAGTTACAGTGCCAGATCTCGAGGTATAGCTCTGGCACAGGCTCGCAGGTAGCTACGTCGATGATTTGGTAGTCGAGAATAAGGTCAACGCCCTCCTGGTCCTCTTTCAGATTGCGCCGAACAGACTCGCCACTGACGTCTCGTAATTGTTAGCGCATGTCGTTTTGACAGCTGACCAACACTCACAGTATGGACCGAGGGTGACCTCGGGGGTTAGCACGCATGAGTTTTGGCCTGCAAAGAGGATCTCGGCGGGGGTGTTGGGTGTATACCCAAGGTCAGTCTTGTTGTGGTCCGTGTTGAGCACGTCCTCAAGATCACGCTTCTTGATACCACCTGAGGCAAGCCACATTAGAAAGAGACAAGCTATGTAATGAGTATTACTTACGCTTTCGGCGATGCTCCTCGATCAAGGCAGAACGACGCTTGATGTTACGCTCGGTGACACCTCTTGCCTTCAGCGTCTCAGCACAGTGACGGAGGGACAATCGCTCAGCGCTGGCTTCGAAGGAGCGACGCTGCTCAAGCTCATCGTGGTGGTCTTCGCCTGGATGGGCCACGGCCAAAGCAGCCAATGCCAAAGTAATTGAAGCAGAAAGACGCATGATAACAGCACAGAACAAAGACTGGTGTGAACGAGGTCCAATATTGGCATAACAAGCCAGTCATACGAGAAATTCAGTTCCCTTTATGCATTTTCAGACGGACTATCAGATCTGACTGTTCAGTTCTCAGGGTTGCATCACACCGTTATCCCACCATCGCAAATCACGTCTTTATCCCGTCCGTCTTGGCAATGTCACGTCGACAAAGTTCCGCAATGCGAAAATGGCCGTAGTTGGCAGGAGGATCCATTTCACATGTCGATCTGCTTGAACAGGCGTGATGGTTGCAACGTGACGTTAGTAAATAGTCTTTCCTAATTCGCTGCGATATACGTAACCCCATGGTAAATCATCGGGATGTGGGCAAACATACCTGATAAGGTCCACAGACGGCTCGGGAACCGACTCGTTAAAGAAGGTCAAAGGGCACAGCTGTATATAGACCCATACATGCAAGGTTTCAGATTTTCAGGCTTTTCAAGATTCTGCCGGCGGCACTGCAGCCGGGGCCGCGGTCGACAAGTTATGTGACCGTTGAGGCAATCACAGAGGAGAGCCACTAAAACAAGAATGTTTTAAGATTTAAAATAGGTACTCATGTAAGATAGTTAGAGGATATATAATGTATACAGGTATTGAAGCTTTCCTTACTTAAATTAGGCTCTCGCTTAATTACTTTAATTATTAAGCTTATACTTTCTATCATATAAAGCCCAATCGAAACTAAGGTTTTACAGATCAGGTTCTAACTTACCTATTACGGGAACGTTAGTTTAGTAGGAAAGCTAAAATAGTAGTGGGCTGATAAAATACCCTAGCTATAACGTAATTCACAGCCTATGAAGGGATGTCTAAGTTTGGGTTATATTTATCCTACTGATAGATGTTTCTACTCCCATTTTAAGTTATCTATATCAGTTTCTACTGAGATACTGTGCGCTGTTTAATCTTGATCCGTTATCTACACATAGACGACATATTGGCTAAGCTTCGTTCCTTTGGTTGCGCAACCGATAGAGTCAATTTGAGCCAACATGGTCAGTATCCCCATGTTCACAGATTTGTGTCCTGGAAATAAGCAGAAGTTAATACAATTAACTAACAACAGGTCCCGCCCGGCAAAGGACGGTAATAGCCGTGCCAAGTCTCATGGTCCACATTTCCCAAAGGAGCGACAGAGTCAGCACGAGGAGCGGATAAAAGGTGACCGACCAGTCAGCATACAGACAGAGAATAGACATCACCAGAAGAGGAGACTCAGCACTCCGTTCTTTTTTGGAGTTACGCCGAAAAGGCTTCCAAGAATGTTAGCGATTTTACTATATAAACTCGGGTAATACTTTATTTAAATTCTGAGAGTTAACACGTCTTACACCATCCTTAGAAATCGCTTGAGTTTACTTATCTCGACTTAAAGCTTTCCCGCTATCCTTAGGTAAGGGGTAAAAGAGTCCCTTTTTACTTTAATTTAAAGATAGAAAGCTAACCTAAAACTTCCAAGATTGTTAGTCGACTAATAAGGAACTCCATCTAGAAAGCAGCAAACCTATCTCTGTCCCCATCTCTAAGCTCTTTTCCCCGCTATCCGCCGACAAAAGCTGCCTGACCGACGCAGCCGGTGGCAGCGTAAATGCTATAGGTATATCCAGAACTTCCTCCTTGCCAGCGCCTAGTTCCTTAAAATATTGACTGGCCTTAGTTGGGAGCGCAAAAACGCTCGCCCATGCCATAGCCTGGATTCCCTGCAGGATAAATCTAGCCATGGGAAAATCACGCCCGATTTGGTGGAGCATCATGCTTGCTTTCACAAATGTGCTGCGAGCGGCTGGATCGTCGAGATACGCAGCTACAGTTCCGACCGAGTTGTAAAGCCCGCATAGCGCCATGCACGAATAATCCCGTACGGAAGAATGTTGTATGTATTGTGCCACAACGTCTGTGTCAATGCCAGCTAGTTGAATGCAATGCGTTTTGGCGGCTATTCCATTTTCGAATATTGTATCAGAACTTAGCGGTCGTAGAAGGCTGATTAATAATTCGTCGATGTAGATTTTTTCTCTGTTAGAAAGTGGAATACACAATGTAGGGAGTGATAAGTACCTTAGGAAACAGGTCCGAGGTGTCAAGTTCTCATCTTTTTTCATACGTTTTGGTAGGTTTCCGCTCCATTTCAAAACTGAATTATATAATTCTCGCCTTTGTTTGAGGTCCTCTTTGCTTCCAATCTCCTGTGATCGGATATTGCAAAACATTATCTCATACAGCATTTCCGATAAGTCACAAGTGGCATCTAGAATACCAGGCACGAACGGAGGCATGCCTCTCTCTGTTTGATGTAAGTCGCCCCATAAATCAAGATTTTCCGAGGGCCTGTCTTTTACATGAAAGCATCTTGGTATTGTGGGTGGTGCAAGTAGAGATTGGTTGAGATATACGTATGCTACAATACTGCATAAATTTCCATAGATATCAGCCTTCACTACTAAAATCCTACGTGAACTCTGTCGGTCACATACCTTTTAAAACAGAAGAGCCCCCAAGCAGCTTTCGATATGATTTCCCTCTGTCGTGTCTGGCCAGGGTCGTCTTTGATTTTATTGAACGTCCGGTCCAGATGGAGTCGACGAAACATTTCGTATGCAGCATACCTATACATCTAATACTTGAGTCAGCTATACTTCATGACTAAATGCTGGAGGTCGACATTTTCGAACAGGGCATTACCAGTCACGTAGCGAAAGCTATCAAAACAGCGCTGTCAGATAACTTGACCTAAGTACGTACCATGCCTGCTCGATCCATGCCCTGGTACGCCGAGAGGATAAACATTAGGGTGAGCCCTTGTACTGTTGGAAGTGAGGCTCGGCCGTTTTCCAAGTTTAGTAGCTTTTTTGCCTAATCCAGGAATTGTGCTCCTACGCTCTTGCCTGCGATAGAACTAAACATCTTTGCTCTTGCAGATGTAAACTATCAGCAGTCAGGTTTCTAGTTCCAGGCAGACAGATGAGACACAAAGTACACGTACACATCTAGAAGCGCAAATTGCATTGACAAGAAAAGGTGAGCAATATCTAGCTTTCTTGACGTCACCCCTATTCATATCTTTTAGAAAGGCTTGACGATCAATGAAGGGATAAAAAAATGCATCATCCCAGGTGAAGAAAGACGATATTAGTTGCGAAACAAGCCCATCGCCGGCAACAGCAGTCCAGGGCTTGGCATGTACGCGTATGGGGCTTTCACTCAACGTCTTAAGGTTCAGGGCGTCCACTCTAGGGTTCCAGCCTGTCGAGGTGATTTCGGGACGTGGAGATGGATGGTCTCTGAGTATGCTTGCGCTCCTTGCAAAATTCAGTACGGTGATAGGATCGTCTGCATCACGGATTCGAGCAAACGCCTGTCGAGCCTCACTCTCCGGAAGCCTTTGAAGGAGAGCATACAACTCCCGATGGCGCTCATTTTCAACCTGAACTGCCTGATGCCTCGAGGCGGATACGATCGTCTGATGATTCGCAACTGTCCACAAACATGGTACTCCTTTGCTGGTGCAGGTTTTGCAAATTGGTCGTTCGCCATTACATTTCACTTTATATTTCCAACAGCGGTTGCACGCCTGAATGACTGGTCTGGCCCTCCGAACTAGCTCTGTGCTTGTGACAGGGACCCCTCGTGATGATGATGAGTGGTCAGGACCACGAATCGTAGAGTTTGGTTCAGCTGGAAGAATGGGGTGGATCGCTGAGACATGATACACAGATGGCTACCTGGTCAGAGTTTGACTTATTAGTTTGAAGGCTCAACTCAACTTGTGACTGTAAATGACCCACCGTTCTGTTTGGCTAATCTGATATCGTACCTGGTGGTTACAAGTGTTTTGTCATGATGAAAGTTGCCAGGCCAATTATATGTTTTCTTCAAATTCTAGGCTACGTCAGGAAATTTGCGAAGCTGTCGAGCACCCTTTGACACCATGTAGTACTTACCAGGCAGATATTCTCTATGAATTGGGCCCGTGCGCCTAGTCTTTTAACAAAGGTGAGATTTGAAATAAGTCTAACTTAGGTCGGAATAACTTCAAAGGTCAAATAGGCACCAGCCTAGGCAGACGGCCCTTGGTTTCGCCGAGGCACCTATTTAAATATCGGGTCTGCCGATACATACAGTTTCAACGAACACTTCGCATCAATAGGTAGGGCCTTTAAATAATCACTATGGCGGACTCTCCTACAATACACTCGACTCTCTCCATCGTCTCGGGTCATCTCTGTTTCGGCTCCTTGCACAACATTTGGTTCGGTTCCTCTGCTCCCTCTCAAAGCCTCCCCGTTGCTCCGCCGCAACCAAGTGGCACAGTTAGAGCCCACAGCATCAACTACAACGTTGCCGCACAAAAAGGGATCTGGAATGTCTACAAACTTGTTGTTTCTGAGACAAGTGATACAGTAGCATGGTTCGTGGCTCACGCAGATATCGATCCCAGGCAGGAAGTCGATAAGATTCTCCGCATATCTGGCTCACCTTATGAACCAGATCATGGGAGCACGATAAACAACGACGCCACTTTTCAGGCCGGAGTTTTTGTGATTAATCGTTATGACTGGAGCTACTACGACAAACGGTGCTTTGATGAGATTGGTGAAGGCCAGGAAGAGGGCGATGATGATGTGCTGGCAAACTCCAACTCTCTTGGTCTTGTTGATCGCTCTGTTGTGCAAGAAATGGTCCAGCGATGGCAGGGCCAACGACCAAGCCAGCGAGATAGTGCAGAGCATGGAATCTGGTTGTATGTTCCCCATGGAGAATACATGTTTGGCCGCTTTGGATTCAATGATACGCACACCGCAGCAAGATCATTCCTGTTCTTCTCCGTACACACAGAGTTCACAAAGACAAGCTTCTTGGGCATTCCAGGAACACTGCGAGAACACATGACGCCTCAGGAGAGGTTTGAGCGCGAACTGCGTGAAGGAGTTGACTTCTCGGGAATGGAGAAGGTTCAAGACATGGTCTCCTGTCAATATGTTTCCCCGCCGCCAGTGTCTGAGCAGCTTGGTCCATACGATCCAAGCGACTATATTCTGAGAGAACAAGACATTGAGCCTTTGCGAAGCTATCGCGAGGAATATGTCTCCCGTAATGGCGCGGAACCAACTATCCATGGGTTCATCGATCCATTGAAGCAACCACTATTAGATCTCGTGAACGAGATGGCCCTCAGTTATCTCGAACATTTCGTCCTTCCTCATCTTGGAGGTGAGAATGTTGCAGAAATGGCTGAGACATTATTCCCTGATTATGAGAAGAATAGTAGACCTATCAGCCTAGACGTTGCCTCGTATCGTCATTTCACTCAGCCAGACCAAAGCCCGATTCTAGACTTTGACATGTCTCACGTGAGCGTTCGTCTTCGAGAGTTCCTCGAGTCTCACAGCCAGGATAAGTCCAGGGTCTTTAAAGACGATGCTGTGAAAGGAATCTGTCGGGTGTTGGGCTATATACTCACTGAGGTATTCGAGTTGGCTAACAATGTGGCTAGTGATTGCCAACATAATAAGATCCTGCCATGCGATGTTCGTCAGGCTGTTTTGCTCGATGAGGATATTCTTCGTTTGGTGTGTTTCTCGAAGATCTTGTGGGAAGGGAACTTGTAAATAGATATTTAAATACTGAATAGAAATACTTGTTAAGGCCAAGAAAATTCTCACCAGTACTGTGGTCGCGACGTAGGAGCTCGAAACTACCAGAGGAGAGATGATGGGAGGATGCATCAGGTGCGTTGTCAGCGCGAATATGATAAGGCGGGGGAGCACATGGAATTGGCCGCGATTGGCTGAATCTTTTCTTAAGATCATTCGATGCCCAGTAAGACATGGATGCTTGATATGTTATGCGATACATAAGTCAGCTGACTTGCGGGCGAGGTTGGCAGTTGGAATTATGCATGTCAGCAACTGAAATCAGCCCAACAACCAAGAACCATCAACTCAATAAGCCTATTCAGCCCAGAACCAGATCAAATTTCATCCAGAATCTTATGCACCCAAAGGATTTCTGTTAATTTCCATCATGAAACTTATTGTAGTTGGCGCTACAGGCTACATCGGCGCTGGGATCCTTCGTCAAGCCCTTACACGCTCAGACATCGCCAGCGTTGTCGCTGTCACCCGCCGACCACTCGAACAAACCGCCACGAAACTCCAAAACGTCATTGTCTCGGACTATGGTACATACTCACCCGCGGCAAAGGAAGCTTTTGCCGGCGCTGGTGCATGTATCTGGACAGTGGGCGTGACACCTTCTCACGCATTTCGAATGGACCCTGAAGAGGTGCGCAAGGTTTGTCAGGATTATACTATGGCCGGCCTTGAAGCCATGCGCTCCTCGGGCCTTGCCCGACCGTTTCGAGTAGCGTATCTCAGCGCGGTGGCAGTTTCGCGGGATGTCAACCAGAATATGTGGTTTGCTCCAAAGTTTAGACGGATACGGGTAAGATACGCTTAATATAACTACTGGGCTTCATGTTAGAACTGGTTGTTTTGCTTACTAATGTGCGTGGATCCTAGGGCACAGCAGAAAACCAAGTTATCACGTTTGCCGATACCAGCGATGGCACGGTAGAAGCGGTGATAGCCAAACCCGGATCTGTCCCTGCCCAAGGTGGTATGCTGGTTACTGCCCTCACAGCTATATCTCGAGGCTTAGGTATTGGTGCCACTGAGGCCGTGGTTTTAGATGATCTGGCTATTGTTCTGATTGACCAGGTTGTTCATGGAATTGAAAAGGACCCGCTGTGGCCAGCGGATTTAAACCGCTTGGCGCAACAAGTTAAGGATAAGAAAGGCCTGAACTAAGGAGTTCGGCTGACAAGGTGGAGCGTATAAGTTGGTGGCAAAGGAACAAGTCTTATTACAAATCAATAGAAGGTTTCAGGATAGTCTTATAAACATTTAATCATCCTGTGGGTTCACATAACGAGATTTGTCCCTAGGCATTATTAGTCATGGGTAAGGAGGCCTTCCGGTCCGTCTTCTTAGCATCTATAGGAGCAGGCTTTATGCAGATCTTGGGAGCTACACTTAGCTACTCCTGATGTCTTTCTGATGGTAAATAGCATGCCAGTACTATTACGCTTTCCTATAAACTATAAAATACTAATTGCTAGAGCATAGGTAAGGAGAGGTATAGTAATAAAACTATTATAAAAATACAGGAGGCTCTAGTATAATATTATATGCCCTAAGAGTATACTAAGAAATCCTCAGATAAGTCGCTATTAAAGAGGGTGCATTTTATTAGCTCTACTTGAGAAGCATTCTTGTGCTTAAAGCAGGAATCTCGAGACTCCTTTCTGGTTTATAAATTTCATATGGAAGGTGTCTTGCTTTACGCGTCTATTGTTGCATATACCACGCCTATAAAATCTTGGCAAGAGCCGCATAACTATTTGTACTTCATCTGAAGCTCCTCGGCTTCCTGAATTGCTCTTTTTGCCTGATCCGTATACTTCCTCTGGTTCGCCTGTTGCATACTAAATGTTTGCTGAAACTTGTCTACCATGAACGGCTTCAGGACCGTCTTCTTGGCTGTAGTATATTCATAAATGACGGTGTCGTCGATGCATCGTGCTGCCAGGCGGCGGTATTGCTCTGATAGAATCCAAGCTTCCATCTTGAGTGATGTTGACTCATTGGTTGGAGCTTCAAGCAATTTATACAATACAGTGATGTGGTCTGGGAACTCTAGAGGCTACAGCACAGTGGCTGGTCAGTCTTCATGATGCTGGAGCTGACGGGGGAGTTATACAAATTTGTATTCCGTGGTGATACTTCTGAGAATAAGGCCGAGGCTACGTGGTGTTGGCAGGTCATCCCATTGTGCCTTTTCGTGCTCTGATGCATCTTCACTGTGTTGTCGGATAAAATGCACTCGCCCAGTTTCGACATAGCGGTTGTACATCACATTATTGACATGACCTATGATGCATCAGAACAATCAGATCTCGAAAGCGTTATAGGATGTAGTGTTTCTTACCCTAAGAAAATCAGATTTAGTCACGCAAAGACACAAAAGAGGATCCACTTACCATGCTATCCTACATAACAAGAAATGTCAGAAATCATGCACCTATCAGTGATAAGGAACCGCTTACCATGTCACCCCAAAGGAGCTGGTGGTTATCGAGACCTCGCCATTTCTTATCGGTCAGAAACCCCTGCTGTCCTGCCAAGAGTTGCAGCCAATTTTCTTCATTCGATACCAACTGTCGCTTGGCTTCTTGAACGCAGCTGGCTGGGTAGTGATCGCTGGTGAAATGCTTCAACTGGGCTTGTAGATCAGCGAACCACCGAGAAGGGAACGAGGTGAGGTCATTGTTCAATTGCGCCAGGCCAGATTGCAAACGAAACTGAGAAATTTCAGGCCTCGATGCAAGGCTGATTGGTCGCTTGAGAAGCCGCAGAGACATGATGCGAGTGCAGGGAACTTGAGTTGAGTGATGGAAATAGTGACGGTGGAAACGGGCTCGGCTGCCCCAAAATAAAAGTTCCGATGGTCGGTGGCCTCGGTATTCGGCGAAGATTCTCCGCGGCCCGGAAGCTTTAGGCCTGCGTAAGCCGAGTCCAGATAAAACCGGCTGACCCGCAAACCGAACGCTACCCTAAAGTTAAAAGAGAGGAGAAAATTCAGAATTTAAATTATAATAAATTAATTAGAAAATAAGCTGTTCTAAAGTATATTCTTGGCATTAATACAAAAGCTAATTTAAAAGAGGTGATCTTCTAGGTTATATGGCAAATTAGCTTCTATGAAGAAAAAACAGCTTCGCGGTCGGATTTATCACTAGATAAAGCAAAGATGTTATAAAAACAACACCAATAGCTAGTCGCTGCAATTAGTTCACGGCTCGTCAGCAAGCCTTGTATGACAATCTTTTATCCTTATTACGTTTCTAAATTAAATAGACCAGCGAAGTGCACAATAAGCTCTAAAACAACATCATTATCACTCTACACTGAGGATAATCGGCTTGAGACTTAAGTCTGTTCATTGAACATGGCATAACGCGATGTGCTTATCAGTCACTTTGTCAATACTACTCAAACGATATCATTTTGCTGTCCAGGATGTTTAACTGTATCTGTCGATTTAGCTGCATAGCCACGCACAGAGCAACCTCAGCGGGAACTAATCTCAGTCTTAAGGCTATAGCTGGTCCAGCAATAATGGCATCATCCCTTTTTCTCTCAGCGCGTAGGACCCTGAACACACGGACATAACCGCTTATGTAGTATTCCAGGCCTCGTATTTCATCCACAAACTGCTTGGCAGCGCCTTGGCGTGGGTCCGAGAGCCTGGTTTGGCTTAGTTTTGCTTAGGTTAGTGTCAGGTACCGGTAGCTCCACCAGAAAGGGGAGAATCGACAGGGCAGGGAACGAGAATTCCGTCCATACAGCCAGGGCTTCTCGGTCTAAACATAGCCACAGCTGAGATCGTGGCTACATGGTTCATTGAGGTAACCTTTTAAGCTTGAAACATAAAAGCTTTGCCTAGTCTTCTTTATTTTGCGAGAATCAGACAGGACCATTCCTCTCTGCACTCGCTATCCGAGTCTTTCTTTCGTTTTTCCTGTTTCGATATTTGTTTCATTCAGACACTCGTTTATTGCTGAATCGTCATTCGTTTTCTTTTCGTGGTTCTCGATACTCTAATAATTACACAATCCGACTAATAATCTTTCGCTGACTCGACAACTACGACAAACACTCCCTCGATATCGACATCATATTTCAAATCTCCTAACTCAACCAACATGGTTCAACTTCCATTCGTGGCTCTAGCAGCCCTACTAATTACCCCATTCTCTTCTGCTGCTCTAACGCAGTGCCCATCGAAAGAAGCATCATGGACATCCAAGACCGGCGCCGAATACACCATTTGCCGCAACACCGACTATCGATACGGTGGAGGAAGTCTCAAGGTCGCCCGGGACATTAAATCTACCAATGCCTGTGCCGAAATCTGCAGCAAGGACCCCCGATGCGTCAAGGCTGTATACGATAAGCGAAATCGCATCTGTCACGTCAAGGACAATGCCAACGAGGCCCAGATGAACTGGGCGTCAGACGCCAAGTTCGACACTATCCGAGTTAAGAACGTCAACGAGGGAGTCTTCATCTCGCGCTGCCCCAACCCAACCAACAACTACCGCTCCAAAGGCGGCAAGACTTTCAACGTCTGCCACAACAGCGACTACGTCGGCCCGACTACTCGAATGACCAAGAACTGCGCCTCTCTTGCTGCGTGCGCTGACATCTGCTCCGGTATCAAGACATGCAAGAAAGCCGTTTATGACAAGCAGGAGAAGGTCTGCCACATCAAGGAGACTGAGCCCAAGGCGTCGCTATTTTGGGTGCAGAGCAAGCGATACAGCGTTGTTCACGCCCCAGTCGAGTCTAAGCCCGCAACTCAAGGCAAATGGTCTGATCTCATCCGTCTCCCTGTCATTCCCGTTGCCGCCTATGTTGTTCCTCAATTCCCTCAATCACAGCAGCTTCTCTTCTTCTCATCTTGGGGTGCTGACGCCTTCGGTGGCGCCTCTGGCCGTACCCAGTTTGGAGTTCTCGATCTTCCTTCAGGTGCCGTCGGACAGCGAGAGGTCGCCGATACTCACCATGATATGTTCTGCCCTGGAATGAGTCAACTCGCTGATGGACGCATCTTGATTCAGGGTGGTTCTGATGCCGAGGCTGTGACACTCTACAACCCCAAGACCAACGCTTTCACCCGAGGACCTGACATGAAGATGCCTCGTGGCTATCAGACTTCCACCATCCTGTCTGATGGAAGAGTTTTCACCATTGGAGGAGCTTACTCCGGTCCCCGCCAGGGAAAGAATGGTGAAGTGTATGATCCCAAGGCCAACAAGTGGACCATGTTACCTGGAGCCGATGTCAAGCCCATGCTCACCAAGGATCGAGAGGGTATCTGGCGTGAGGATAACCACGCTTGGCTCTTCGGTTGGAAAGATGGCAGTGTCTTCCAAGCCGGCCCCAGCAAGGAACAGCATTGGTATGGCACGAAGCAAAAGGGATCAATCGTCAAGTCTGGTAAGAGAGATAACGCTGATGCTATGTGCGGCATCTTTGTCATGTATGATGCCGTTGCTGGTAAGATTCTGTCAGCTGGTGGTGCCCAGGACTACACCGCCAGCGATGCCAACAAGCGTGCTCATATCACCACCATTGGAGCACCTTACAAGCCTGCTTCCGTCAAGCGTGTTGCTGATATGGCCTTCCCTCGTGGCTTCGGTAATGCTGTCGTTCTTCCTGATGGAACTGTTCTTGTGACTGGAGGCCAACGAAAGGCGATGGTCTTTACCAACACTGAAGGCATCCTGGTTCCTGAGCTCTACAACCCTGCCACCAACAAGTGGACTCAGCTTGCACCTCACGCTGTTCCCCGCAACTACCACTCTGTTTCTATCCTGTTGCCTGATGCCACGGTGTTTATCGGTGGTGGCGGCCTCTGCTACGTTGCCAAGATTGGTGGTTCAACTGCTGGCTGCGACAAGACAGCTGACCATGCCGATGGAGAGATCTTCCAGCCTCCTTACCTGTTCAACAAGGATGGCTCCATTGCTAAGCGTCCCATCATCCAGAACCTTGCCCAGAAGCCTGTTAAAGCGGGCAGCACCCTCAAGTTCAGCGTCACCAACACTTCTGGTAAGGTCAAGATGTCTCTTGTTCGTATGGGAAGTGCTACACACTCAGTCAACAGCGACCAGAGGCGTGTCCCTCTCACCGACTTCCAAGTCAAGGGCAACCAGTACACTGTCAAGCTACCCAAGGATAACGGTGTCCTTCTCCCTGGCTATTACTATCTCTTTGTGATGTCGCCGCAGGGTACTCCTAGCATGTCAAAGACAGTTCAGATCGCTTTGTAATTAGCAAGTGGACTGTAGTATTCTACTCTCAAGAAAGGAACATTATTATGCTACAATAAACCGTATTCCACAACCCTGATAGATAATAACCATAATAAATAAGTTAAATGGCGTTTATCTGTATTGTATTTATCTCCTAAATGTCGACTGTATTGAATATGGAAAACCCCCCTCTTAACAGGAGTGACATCTGCTATATGATTAACCTCGCGATATAGTAGATGGTATAGTATTTCAGTAGCTCTGAATCTGTATCTATATAGTAATAGTTATATAGATTCTCGATTTATCTTCTATGTAGTTATTCTCGTGTATAACTGCCCAGAAAGCTTGCAGACAGCCGATAAGCAAGGTCTGGTTTGCTAAGAGGTATAGCCCAATCACGATGCATCTACCAGTTCGCCAATTTGAGCCTGTTGCCTGATTGTCCAGTAGATAAGAGCCGCAGTCTCTACCCCAAATTGCTGTATCTCAATCTTCTCGTCAATTTCTCTACTGTAACGGATCCGTTGTTGTGCTTCCCCGCGTGGTGTATTGCCACTCAAATTCTCACTGACAGCTTATTACATTCTCGACAATTCTGGCAATACAGCTGCCCTATAGTGATGACAGAAATGGCCAATATACCTTCGTACTCTATAAGCTTTACTATGGGTTTGCAACATACTGACATAAAACAGTTCCGATCTGAACGATCCTGCCATTATGCACCCAGTTGAGTAGCTATTCCTCGACATCTCCATTCATGAAGTACTTACCCAGACAATGGTAACCTTTGTCGAGCCATGGAAGACTACGTATATCGATTCAATTCGCCAGAAGCGCTATGGCGATGCCATCTGGGCTCGTTACTGCATAGAGGGAGGGGTCGAAAACGGTGTCATCATTGGTCAAGGCCCAAATCCCGACATCACCGTGCTTGATCAAACCAGGGAAGATGCACTTGAGGCGAAGATGAATGAACCAGAACTGTTTGCAGAGGCTTTAGAGCTCTACCGAAATACTAGCAGTGCAGACGGGCACCCAGAAGTCCTCGAGATCATCTTTGACACCGATAGGATGGAGCATCAAGACTGAAAGTGCAGAGACGAAAATAGAGAGGAGAAGATGAGGCGGTGGAGGTGAGCGGGGTAAGCCAGACTGGAGGCTAGAGTCGTCACTAGGATGATCTGTGTGAACTTTTGGGGAGGCAAATCACTGTATACACGATGGGCCAACTACAACTCATAGCTTCAAATACCTCTTGCTCTCTCCGCGTGGAGGAAGTGCCCTTGCTAAGTGACGAAAGCCAGCGTCAAAGAGTACTAATCATTTGAGGGAACATGCTCAGAAAGACAACAGCTCGGATATGCCGGCATTCGAGGATGGCACGTACCTAGTCCAGCCAATCGGACCAAGTAATAAGGCCTTTGAGGCTAGACCACAGAGATAACTTAGAACAACCAACACACAATAAGGACCAACAGAGTCTCAGAATGCTCACGGCGTTAATGCAAAGATGGCATGTTAAGTCTCGTATAGACCCTGTTATGTGATTAAGTGAAGCGGCCATATTAAACCATCTCGGACAATGCAAGTCCAAAGCTAAATAAAGACATGCTTAACATGTTTAATATTTTTCCATAATAAGAACCCAACAAAGCAGCTAAAACAGATTCTGGTATATATGCCCCTCCCTCTAAAATAGTCAATACCGAACCGCGAGTAATAATATTGTCCTTCTTTATGTATGTGTTCAATTACCATGCAGAGGATTATCTGTTATGTTCTCTGCAGGATTTAGTCACCCTTGTTGCTCGACAACCAACAACCAAATCCCGGCTGAAGGATTGCGGCAGAGACAACAACCAACTAACAACCGACAGCATATTGTCGCATTTACTACCATGAATCCTCCTCGTATGACACAAGCAAGCCGGAAGAAAATTGTCTTACTTTCTGGTCATCAAGAGCTCTCAAGTCAGGGTATAAATATGCCGGAATGGACTGGCCCATGATTTTACCCAGGTCACTCAACATTCCTCATCATTCAATTCAAACCTTAGGATGCTCCCTCAACTTTTGACTATAACTTTCGTGCTAAGTGCACAGCACGCCGTTGCACTGACAAACTCCTCTCGCTTGCCAGAACAGCTCTTCTTAGACATCCCCACCAACGATGTTCTTCAAAATACGTCCATGCTGCCATTGGTGGAGTCTTGGTCTAGCAAATACGTTGAAGCTATCCAGAGCAAGAGATATGGTGATGCGATATAGGCAAGATTCCATATAGAGGGAGGTGTCCAGAACGGCATCACCTTAGATACAAATGACACCATCTTGGACATCATCAAGGAAGACGCAGCTGGCTACAAGGCTAATGCACCTGTTCAATACACCGAGGCTGTTGCCTTCTATGCGAATACTAGCAGTGACGACAACCACTCGGATCTCATCAAGGCCATTGTGGATGCAGCTCCGGATGAAGACCTTGCCAAACGTGCTACGTTCAAGATAAATTGCGACGCCAACCACAATCTCGCGTTCCAGTCAGACTGCCAGCAGCTATTCGTAACATGTTGAGAAGCAAGATAAACATAGGAGACACAAGGCTTGCCGCTATTCATGGTGGCTGCAGACTCAGAGTTGGACCCTATCGTTCTCCTCCAGATGTCACCTATAACACAGCCCCTGCGGTCGCTATTCTGATTGAGGAGAAATGTGCGAGGAGGATTGGATGTTGCCAGTTTGTATCAGGTTCTTCGCCAAAGAATGGAGGACACCGAAAGGTCTGTCTCAGCTCGAAGCGGAGTGGATGCCGATAAAGAGTTGAGTCTTATATCTCAGAAGATGGGTAATGCTGCACCAAAGAGCTTCACTCTCGAGTTGGCCTTGTTGGGAAGAGCAATGAGTCTCGTAAGTCTTAGTGGAGTGATTGCAGGCTTTATCTAAACATATACGAAACTCATCACAATCCTGTTGCTTAATTTGTCTTATTTCATCCTAAGATACTGATTGATAGTTGAAGTTCATTATGTCCCAGTGAGATATATCAAGCCAATGCCTTTAAAATCTTGATTAATTGTGAGGAATAAGTGAGTCTAAAGCTTTTTATGTTTAACAAGAAAGTACGTTTAGTCGATTGTCATGACTATCTAATATTTACAAAACAAGCATTCTGAGCTAGGTTTTGCGTGACTATGGCGCTGCAGATACCTGCGGCTTCTCGATGCCATATATGCGATAATACTCCTCGCTAATTGGAATCTGCTTTGCACCAGCTGGCCGAGTGACATTCCGCCCCCATTCCTTTGGCACTGAGTGTTTGTCCTGCCACTGATAAATCGCATCGAAATCCCTACACTGATGGTTGACAGCAAAGTCTGGAAATGGATTTGTTTGAGTCTCGACCCAGTTGAACGTAATGATGTCCAGGTTGCCATTACACATGAGGTTTTGCATCAATATGTCTGTGCAATGGCTGACATGAATCCAATGCAAGTCGCTAAAAGGCTTCTTTGCTGTACCATTGCGGTTATACTCGGCCCAAGCCAGATGACGAAGAAGATTGAGGCAGTGGATCTGATGAAACATATCGATTTGAGCCATGTAAGCGTTGTCACCAAGGCCATACTCTGGTGGGAACTTGACGAGGAGCTCTGGATCTTTGCCCAGTCGGCGAACCTCGGCCTCGTTGATAGGGAAAACACGAATGATCTCCAGATCCTCCCATGCTTCATCAACTTCTGGATCAGGCTTCAGAGAGTTGCGCCACTTGGAAGGGTTCTTTGCCTCGAATAAGCCGCCCTCCGTCTCAATGGGCCTCATCTTGAAGTTGATCGAGTCCAGAACAGGAGCTTTAGTCCAAATTAACAAACCGTGAACATCGCAATAAGAGAAGAAAGGCTTACAGTAGAAGGAAGTCTTGCGAATGTGATCCATGTCAGACTCCGAGCCGAACCTAAAGGAGGCAGCAATAAAGAGACCCAAAGATATCAGGAAGAGGAGAAGGTTCAGAACAACCCAAGAATGTGTTCTCCAATTCCGTCGCTGGGTCGGCGGAGCCCATTCGATCTCATCACTCTCTCTGTTGCTACCAAGAAGGCTCTCATCGGAACCTCTATCTTCTTTGCAAGACATGATTTTGGTTATGTCCATAGATCTTGTTGGCACGCGAACTGATCCCATAAAAACAGCTCAAATGTCCTGGCCCCTCAAGTTTGCAAAAAGGTTAAATGTGATAAAAGATGAGCAGAAACTCAAGCAATGGCGTGCTTTATCACCAATATCCTGTTGCATTTTGTTATCATCGCCGTATCTGGGGGCCAAACAAAACCACCTTCCCCAAGCAGAATATCAAAGGTACTTTTGGTGGAAGATGCCGATCAATCCGGCGAAGGATTCCGATACAGATCTCGGGCTTCCCAATGGATCTCCAAGTGGGTACTTTTGGAGTCAGATGCCGAGTTCCGGTAAGACGTCCCCTCTTGACGCGATGTCTTTGGGCTCTGGTATCACCATGCTACACCAAAAGGAGATATGTAGTGACGCATTGTCGTGAGAACTTCTGTTGATAGACACCACTGGAGAACTTTCGTTGGCCATGTAAACCTTATCTGCCCCGCAGCAAAATGACCTTCCCTTCCAAGTAGTTACCGATTTTGAACAAATATACGAGATGTATGAAAGAGCAGACGACAGGGTACCTTATTTAATGTCGAGATCATCCTGCAAAGGCTCATGGCCATGAAGAAGCAAGTCTGACAATACAGAAGTTTCTAGCGATTCAGAATGAAGCTATCTCAGATCCTCAGCACTGCTGCATTATGCAGCTTTGCGCTTGCAAGCCCACTGCCAGGTATGTCCTCTGGACCTGGAAAGCAACATCAGTTAACCTTCAGTCTAGGTAATGCGATTGCTGAGCGAGAGGCCAACCCTGTTACTCCTCCTGGCTATGGTGCGAAGTACATCTTGGAGGATGACCTTGATAAGCGTGAGCCGCAGAGGAACGCGTATGGAAAGGCCTACACCCTGAAAATGAAGGATGATGGCTTTGAGAAGCGAGACCCCCAGAATACTTATGGCAAGGCCTATACCCTGAAGATGAAGGACGATGGTTTCGAGAAGCGTGAGCCTCAGAGGAACACGTATGGAAAGGCCTATACTCTGAAGATGAAAGATGATGGCTTTGAGAAGCGAGACCCTCAGAATACATATGGCAAGGCTTACACTTTGAAGATGGAGGATGACGGCTTTGAGAAGCGTGAGGCTGAAAGTGGGGCTTGAATGTTTATCCATATTATAAATATCTAGGCCATAGACACATGCAATGTTGGTTTCATGTATCCAGTAAGAAACCCAAATGAGTAACCTTCATTGGCACCAATCAACCATATCACAATGGTGCCTCAAACCTTGCCAATCGATGAGCAGGTTGCCTAGACAAGTAAGCCTTGGTCTCATAAGTGCGAGTGATTGTGTGGACAATGTCAGGTTAAGGTTTCGATTAGATTTCGTTGTAACCTAGACTCTCACGTATTCTAAGTTCTGTATTATGGGTAAGAAATTATATCTAAGCTCTTTTTATTATCAGGAGTTTTCAGGCAACTTTAAGTTGAAACCAAAATGCGATCTAAATTTCTGCCTCCAAGTTTAAAAATGTCTTGGCCCATTGTTTGTGTCTTCCCTTTCTTCTACACTGCCCCCTTCACCTACTGACGACACTGCGACATCACCATGCCTTCCGAGTCCGATGCGCACCAATCCCAGATGCCACAACGGCAAAAGACGATGTATGCCATTCATACAACACGTCGACGCTTGATTGCTACGGATGCAAAGGAATATCATCGTCTCGTTGTAGCGGATTCCACTATAGAACTACCGGGGCCCTTTACTGACAGGGACGAAACACTCCACCAACTGCGTGGACTCAAGGAAAAGGAGCACCGAGAGAAAGTTTGCACGCTCGTTGCTCGCTCGCCTTTGTATTGCAAGTTTCCAGCCAGTCAGGACAGCGTAGAATGGGACCTTGACCGACGCTGCTATGGTCTTGGACATTTTATTGACTGTCATAATAAGTCTGTCGCGATTTATCTCTTTTATCCTGACATATGAGAGTCACCTGGCCTTGTCAGAGATTAATTTCTCCCTGACTTCTTTGTTTGTGAAGGAAGTGCTGCGAGTTCGACATTGTGCGACTTCTGGTGCATAGTTAGCGGATATCCTTCTGAAAGGGAGACGCCTGCTGACACTGCCTCGTTTTGTGAGTTTTGCACTTGCAGCATGCCAACCTCATCTTCGATGTCTTGGGCGGCGCGCCTATCCCAAATATATAATAAAGTTTGATATAACGTACACGATAAGCATGCCGATCAGACAAGCATGCCGATCAAAAATCCCTCAACCTTACATCTAACCATCTAATCAATTGATTCTCAACCAAATAATATGTCTCAATCTAATAAAGAGGCTCAAATCCTTCTTGCACTTCAGGCCTATCAGGCAGACCCAAAATTAAGTCTGCGACGAGCTGCAAAGGTCTATGATGTTAACTTCTCAACCCTCCATGCCCGACATAATG